AACAAAAGGCGAGCCTTTATTTCAGGCTGATATACGTGGAACATAAAAGAAAGTGAAAACAAACTAGAGCCCAAAAAGACTGAGGAACTCTGACTTCACAACGAAAACTATGAATCAACTATGGTACTAAGACGACTATGAACTAACTAGGAAGCTATGACGACTGTGACTACTATGACTGTGAACTATGACATTAACTATGATCTTTGAACTATGACTTGACATGGGAAAAATAGCACGATCCGACAAAGACTGAAGGGAAACACACAGACTAAGTACACACAAGGGGTAATCATTGGAAATGGAAACACATGAGCAGCTGACACAATAAATCATAATGACACCATAGGGAAAGTGTAAACTAAGCACATAGAACATGGAAACGAGACTTTAAAAATAAATAGGAAACATGACGGGACGCAGACAAGAAACATGGTTGACAACAGACATGAAATATGACAGCTTAAGACACGAACCAACAAGAAACGCCTAACCACAGAGGGCGAACACACAAATGGCTCTAAAAAGCAAAGAACTAAAACTGAGCAATTTAGGAGGTAATATCTAAATTAACTTAACATAAACAATGAATAGCAAAATACAAGGAAAATCAGATCCTAATAGCAACAACCAGAATTTAACATATCTTCAATAACATAAGTCAACAATACAAACTGAACTCAAAATGACAGATGCACTGGTTTACTGAAGAAACCCAAGAAAAAAAGATACATGATAAAGCACAAAGGCAAACTAAAATGAAAAAAGAAAAACTGGAAAGAAAAATAAAAGATGGTTAAAAAAAATTGACCTTTTTTTAGTTGTTCAGATTTGAGGAGTTTGAGTTTGGTCTAAACAAATAGTGATAGTTGGGGATGGATATGAGAAAAAATAACTAAAATAATGCCACTGAAAATGTTGTTGTCTCACCAACATAATACTGCACTGAATATCCTACTACCAGTGGAATTACTGGACTACTTCATGAATCAAAGGAGATTACAACAGAGGACACATAGTAAATAATTTCAGAATACAGCATTAGAAAATGTTATACTCTATTCCTAAAATAATTACCTTACCTCCGTGTACTCCAGAGAGATAACAAAGGGTAAGTCTGAAAGAATGCTGCAAATTCCTTGAATGAATCCTTAAAAAGAATGCCAAGAATTTCAAAAAGGTTTCAAGGACTCTACATAAGAGGTCAACCTCAATTACAACATCAAATCTTCCTTATACATTAATAATAAAAAATCTATAATAAATAGTGTAGATTTCCAGTAGATAAATGGGTGCTTTATCACTTTTCTCTCCTTCATAACTCGCTGTCATCTTGCTTTCTCCCTCTGCT